GGCAAGTATGTATCAGAAGGGAAGTCAAAGCTCTGCCATAAGAGATTCAAGTTTTCATCTCTCAGAACAAGATTTCCAGTATCCAAAATTGTAGCACTCACATTCTTATACGGTGATATATTTGTCACCTTGTAAGATATCTTGCCCTCCAAAATCACAAGGTTACCATCATCACTAACTGTAAGAGCTGCAGAAGAAGTGAAAAATGAAAAGTCTCGGTTTCCCACCCATACAACAGTTTGCTGCTCGACTTTCTTATACCAGATACCTAAATAGTAAATGGCTGAATTCCCAGGGGAAAAGAATCCCAGCTCAAACACTTCGCCTTCTGAAACAATTGTTTCAGAGTTGGTAATATATTGCCCTGATGAGAGGGTGTCTTTTGCTGCACTCGGGAATATCAAGCTGTGGCATGAGAATATCAGTAGAACTAGGTAAAAAAATCCACTTCTTGAAATTTCTATGATCTCCATAAGCAATCAAAATAGGCAAATTCAGTTTATTCTAATTCCTAAATGTTGGAATAACAATTCCACATCTTCTGATTGCAACTTTCTCAGATCATAAAACTCTGCAATTAAAGAAAAAACTTTTAATAGATAAACACTCCCTCAATTTTTAACCTGACAACTAACCAAACAAACACAATTTTAAAGTCTAGTACATGCTCTTTGACAATAGTAAGGCAGTTAACATTTATTCTTGGATGAGCAAAATCAAAAAAACCATGGCTGCCATAAACAAACTGGTTTTGCCCTACAAAGCATAACACCATAAGAACATTGAAACAGTTTTCTTATATAAATGAATGATTTGAAGAGCAAAAAATATTACCTTGAGTTTAGAATCCGAATTCAAAAGCACAGCCGTTGGAGAATATGATCCAGAGTTGTGTGAAGTTTATTAATGTAGCATGTTCCTAGATATTTCAGAATATGGGAGGTCAAAATGTGAAAAGTTTTAAGATTAGGCCCCTCAGTCAACCCCGAGTTGGAGTTGAGATCGAAATGGTCACATAGAGTGGTTAGGCAGTTTATTGTGTACTAAACCCCAGAATTTCAAAACAATATTATACCTCAACTAATCTGAAGTCAAGACGGATTAGATTTTGTTAGAAAAGCACTCCAAGTATATATTTTTTTATTTCCCTGATTCGAATTCGTGACCTTACTTGAAGAATCAACCTCCTTTCCACTTTGATCAATAAGCCGGTGGTGGTAAGGTGAATAGTCAGTAGTCAACGCCCTGCAGAGTTTTCCGCCGCCAACCCATTAAGCTACAGTGGTGAGCAGAACCCTCATGGTTTCTGTCATCCTCCTTCATACGACACCGTAGAAAGGGCCAACTGCATTTGGGTTTGACTTGACCCCAGCGCCAGTTATCCAAATTCATCTATGCGGCCGTCGCAGACGGCTTTCTGCGCCGCTCCATCACCGCTCTCAAACCCTCCTCGTCCTGCCCTTCTTCCAATCGGCGCCAGAATATCAACCCCATCGCAATCTATGACGTATACAAATCGTAAACCAATCTCTTGAGCCACATTCAGTTTGGATACAAGGGTGAGGACAGGGGCAGTCCCGCGTCAAAGATTGAAATGGTTTCAGGTTTTTATCTATGGAGGCTACTCTCGCCGCTAGAGGAAGCAAAGCTGCTATGCAGTCCCTGATTCCACCCATCAAAGTTTAGAGAGTATAGTCATGTAATGTGATTAATAGCAATGATGGAAACATGTTAATCAACCTTTTTATTGAATCAATCAACTCATCTGGATCAAAACATACCATCCATTGAAGCTTCCTATAATTTTCTGTATCACC